CTTCTGTATTCTTCAGTCTGGTGTCATGAGGATGTGACCAGGGGTCCTTCTGCTTTAGGGCTCAGGAGCTAAAACACAGCTGAGCTTAACAGAAACCCATACCTTGTGGCCCTTAATCAAGGCCTGGCCATTGTTTCTGGCTACCTGAGGAGGTTAATGACTAGTGAGCTAAGGCTTACCAGGCATGCTGTGAACAAACTGACTGACGGAAGAGAGTGTTGGGGCTACATATTAACTCAAAATCATACATTAAGTCAGGACTCAGTTTCAATTGTTCATTCACTTTGTGGGCTGAAGAACATTTTAATGATATATTAGGTTGTCTTGATGTGCAGGGGTAGAAGGTGTACATCGTGTGACTCTTACTCAATGTATGCTATTATTTCTGCTGTCTTGGTTATTTATTTTTTCTGCAGTCTAACAGGCCCTGGGCTAAACAGTCTCTCTAGTGGTTAACAGGTACTATGTGACTTCCTTGAGGCCGTTAGTCCAAACTAGCATGCAAAACTATTTTTTTTTTAAAATTTAAGATATTTTCTGAGAGAGGTGGTTATTAACTCCCTGGCTTCAGTAGTAACAGTACAGAGAGGGAAACAGTTTTCTCTTTCAGTGAAGAACCTCAGTGATGATGCATATTCTCAGATGCTTTGAGAAAGTTTACTTGATCATTTGGTTCATGCATCTGAATTAATATGCTTTTTTGCAAATCTTTTCAACTTCATTACCATAGCCTTTCTCTAAGTACCTGGTTTTCTGGGGGAGGCTTTACAATATAATCTCTGTTATTTTAGTATTTGCTCTCCTTATCATCTGCTAATTTGATTTGATATATTATTTTAACTAGTCTTTGTCTTCCAGAGATGAATCTGTTTTAGAAAATATTGAACATATATTGTGTTCATGGGCTTTTTTTTTTTAATCTTTCTCTCCACACACTCTTTGGTAGCATGTACCCAACACACAGGAACAGTGTGTGTGATAGTGGGTCACTTCACTTTTGATAGTTTTTGTAAGCATTTTTAGAGTGCTGACAATCTGCACTCGACTTTCAGAAGTGCCCAGTTTGCAGTCATTTTTTTTTTATCCTCACTCGAGGACCTTTTTTTTGCATTTATCTTCAGATAGAGTGGGAGGGAGAGAGAGAGAGAAACATCGATGTGAGAGAGACACATCGACTGGTTGCCACCCACACAACCCCATCCGGGGCTGGAGACCAACTGAAACCGAGGTACGTGCCCTTAGCGGGAACCGAACCCGGGACTCTCTGGTCTGCCTGCCAACGCTCTAAGCTCTGAGCCAAACCGGCCAGGGCCAATTTGCAGTCATTTTGCCATGACTTCTCAGTTTCTACTTTTGGGAGAAAAAACCTTCTAACAGTTTTATTTGGGTCCCTTTAAAGGGCTCCCCTATTTCTGCATATTCAATTAAAAATGGAGTATATTTGACGGCTGTAACTTTGGTTTATTCAATTCCCAAGTGCTTAAGGCTTTTAAAATTAGTTTTCTTTGCTTCTCTAAGTAAAACTTACTCAGAATGTTTTAATTTAAAATTTGGTGATCTTCATATATTTAAGAAAGGAGAAAAGCTATTTTCTCCAATTTTAAGGTCATAATTCTGGAGTTATGTAGTCAATGAGAAGGTTTTTGTCTGGGTCGGAAAGAATATGCTTTATAAGAGTCTTGGGGGAAAGAATTAGTAGTGCATTCAGAATTCATGCTGTTCTGGGTACACTGAGGTGCATGCTAACTTAGCAGGTAATGTTTTTTTATCTCACTAGTGAAGACTATTGGCCTAAAAGGACCTTACCCTTTGCCTTCAGACATACTTTACTTTATTTTAAATGGACTTTATATTTTAGAGCAGTTTATAGGTTGACAGCAGAATCGTGTGGAAAGTACAGCGAGTTCCTATTTACCACCTGCCCCCACACATGCACAGCCTCCCGTGCTATCAACATCCTGCGTCAGAGTGGTGTGTTTGTTTCCACTCAGGAACCGCTACGGACATGTCATTATTACCCAAGTCCATGGTTTACATTAGGGTTCATTCTTGGTGTTGCATATTCTATAGTTTTGGACAATTGTATATTGACATGTATCTATCATTATACAGTGACATGCTTCATGACATGATAGCATTGTAGCGTCATATAGAATTTATTTATTTATTTATTTATTTTTTATCTTCACCCGAGGACATTTTAGGACATTTTTTTTGTTCAGATAGAGTGGGAAGGAGAGAGAGGGAGAGAGAGAAAGAGAGAAACAACGTGAAAGGGACACATCGAGTGATTGCCACCCACACAACCCCAACCAGGGCCCAGGACAAACTGCAACCCAGGTACATGCCCTTAGCGGGAACCGAACCTGGGTCTCTCTGGACCGCGGGCCAACGCTCTAACTGCTGAGCCAAACCGGCCAGGGCTAGAATTTATTTTTAATTTAAAATTTTTTATTTATTTTTGTTACAGATGTTTCTCCTTTTACCCCATTGACACCCTTATCCCGATCCCCCCCACCCCCGCCCCATCTCCAGCATTGTTGTCTACGTCCATGGTTATGCATACGTGCATATAAGTTCTGTGGTTTATCTTTTCCTTCCCCCCCCCCCCGACCCCCTCTTCTGAGGTTTGTCAGTCTGTACCCTACTTCTATGTCTCTGGGTCTATTTTGTTCATCAGTTTGTCTTATTCATTATATTCCACAAATAAGTGAGATCATGTGATATTTGTCTTTCTCTGATTGGCTTGTTTCACTTAGCATAATACTCTCCAGGTTCCTCCATGTAGTCTCGAAGGATAAGATTTCTTTCTTTCTTACAGCTGCATAGTACTCTATTGTGTATATGTACCATAGCTTTTTTATCCACTCATCTATTGATGGACACTTGGGCTGTTTCCAGATCTTAGCTATTGTAAATAGTGCTGCTATGAACATGGGGGTACATATATTCTTCCTGATTGGTGTTCCAGGCTTCTTAGGATATATTCCTAGAAGTGGGATCACTGGGTTAAATGACAGATCAATTTTTAACTTTTTGAGGAAACACCATAGTGTTTTCTGTAGGGGCTGCACCAGTCTGCATTCCCACCAGCAGTGTACTAGGGTAGCCTTTTCTCCACACCCTCGCCTGCACTTGTTTGATGATTTGTTGATGGCAGCCATTCTGGCAGGTGTGAATTGATACCTCATTGTTGTTTCATACAGAATTTCACTGTTCAAGTCTGCTGTGTTCCACATATTCATCCCTCTCTCCCTCCCCTCAGCCCTGGATCCTTTCACTGTCTCTGTAGTTTTTTGCCTTTTCCAGAACGTCATATAGTTGGAATCCTATAGTATATAGCCTTTCACATTGGCTTCTTTCACTTAGCGATATGCATTTAAGTTTCTTCCATATCTTTTCATGGCTTGATAGCTCCTCCCTCCCTCCCTCCCTCCCTCCCTCCCTCCCTCCCTCCCTCCCTCCCTCCCTCCTTCCTTCCTTCCTTCCTTCCTTCCTTCCTTCCTTCCTTCCTTCCTTCCTTCCTTCCTTCCTTCCTTCCTTCCTTCCTAAATTACTGAGACAATTTATTTCTTACTTGCTCTGAAGAGAAAAAAATACTGCTGTGTTAGGTGGGAGTTTGCCCTTCCCTGTTCTGGGTAAGGTGGACAGAACTTTCAGGCCGAGGAGCCCTAGCTGGGGGCTTCCTGCAGACTCTGGGAGGTGGTGGGAGGCAGCTTTATGCCAGTATGGGCAGCTCATTTCTTTTTCTGAATGATGTTCTGTTGTCTGGATGTACCATCCACTTTGTTTTATCTATTTGTTATTACTTGTTAGCATATTTGAAGATGAGGTCCTGCTTTCCTGTGCCTTTACACCCTAAGTGTCAGCCATCTCTGTCTGCAGCAGTCTGGATAAAATTCAGTTCTGTCGCTCAGATCAGTGCGGCGCCCCACAGGGAAGCGTTCTGGGTGGACAGAGGCTGTTTGAAGTGGAGCTGGTTCGCGCCTCGTGAGGCCACGTGAGCTCGCGGCAAACAGCACTGTTAACTGAGACACTGTTGGTGGCTGTGCCCATGAGGAAGAGCAGTGTCCTAGAAGCAGTTGCTGCTTTTAAGGGCATTTCTTTCTCAGATCTGTTAATCAATTTAATTTTTTCTAACTGTTCTCCCTTGAAATCTGTCACATTATGGCCCAGTCACTTCCAACTTCTTTCTTTCCAGCCATTGGACCCACACAGGTGTGTCCCTTTGAATGACCTTCCTCTGTTGGCATTTTAGGACCATAGTCAAAACTCATGAATTGTCTGATTTTTTTCTTTTAATTTGTCAATCAGAAGTAGATATGGAAGATTTTTAAACCCCCCTCGTGATGAAAACACTGCATGTAGGAAGTCTCTGCTGTCAATGTGTATGTTTATAACTGGAAAAGTTCCTTCTCCTTTCCCACTAGGTACTATTTGGCATGGTGTGGCTTCTTTAAAGGAATATATTTCACAGAGAATATGCTCAGTTTAAAGGAATGGAAAAAAAATGTTTTATAGAAAGGAATAAATAGTTCAATAAGAAAGGGTTACCAGAGATTTGAAATAGTAGGGCTGAAGAAGAAGACGGTATCTGTTGTCTCACCACCATTGAGCCAGGAATACTACAAAGAGCCCAGAAGACGGTGTTAGGTAACACAGGGCTTGTGCTGTCATTGCATGTTGTCGTTTGCCTCTGCAATGGTGCCTAGACTTTGATGATCTTAACTGGAATTAGGCAGTCACTTAATGGCAATTATATGTGATGTTTGTATTTTCTTCACTAAAAATAAATGTTCAAAAACTAAGTTAGGAGTCTTTGCTATTTCACAAATTATGCAACCAACTGTAAAAATAATTTAATTTCTAGTCAAGTATATTCTTCTACAGAAGTGTCTGTGAAATATTTTCTTGTAACCAAAGGTCAACTGACCACATTTAGACTTTGACTTTATTGATCTGAAGGATGTGGTTTGAAGGCTATTTCTTTTCCCTCTTAGATAATGAGAAAGTTAGACAGCTGCTTCTGGAGGGTGTGCCTGTGGAATGTACGCATAGCTTTATTTGGAACCAAGCTATCTGTAAGAGTGTCACAGAGAATAAAATCTCGGATCAGGTAACTAACGGTGTAAGGATTGTTGGTAAAGTTATGAAGACAGGTTGAAACTCATCACTTGAGAGAACATAAAAGTTACTTTGTACTTTATAGAATCACATAGACTTTTTGTTTTCAAACAATTTACTGGTCCCTTACTTATGATACATACTATGGGTTTTATTTTGTTTTCTGTTCTTAGAAAAGAGTAATCTCTAGAAAAAGTTAACACAGAGACTTTTTCTTGAAATGATAATCTTATGGTTTAAATACATGTTTTTCTTTCATTTTTTCCTCATTAAATGTTCTCTTTCTTTATTAATTTATGTGCTCTCCTATCTTTAATTGTACATTGATTGTGGTCCTACTAGAACCAGGCATTGTCTTAGATGATGGGGTAGATGACTATTAGATACAATCAGAGAAGTACAGGGTACAAAGGAAGCCCAAAGAAGGGACGCTAAGTCCAGATTATAGAAATTAGGGAAAGCTTCCTGGATGGAGGAGCTGGTATTTGAGCTGACTCTTAGCGGGCAGTTAGAATTAACCTGACTTTTTGGGGCCAGGGCGGCAGTAGAGAAAGGTTTGCTGAAAGTGAGCATGTGTAAGGGCCCAGGCCCCAAACAGGCCTGTGTGTTCAGGAATTTTCAAGTAGATCAGGAGCTTGGAGTCAAGGGTGGGGCAAGAGATGAAACTGATGTGATAAATAGGGGCCAGAGCATAAAAGACATGGGATTTTAAGGATCTGGACTGAAGATGTAGGGCACCATTGAAGGTTTTAATGGGCCGTGACATGATCACATTTCTCTCCAGCAGCACAGTGGAGGGTAGATGAGACTACGGATGGGGATTTGGGTGGAGGAGCTGGCGAGAGGACTTGTGGTTGGATGGCCTTAAAAGAGACCCTGGAAATAGTCTATGATGTAGGACATGATGGGGACCTGAGTTGTGGTAGTGTGGCTGGGATTTAATCCCTATTCCTGGAGGGTAAAATTGATAAGACTCCGTGGTTGACTGGAAGATGGGTGGTGAGAAAGGAGACTTGTGGGTTAGCTCCTGGGTCTAGATTGGGTTTAGGAGCCCAGCTAAAAGAGAGCCAAAGCCAGGTCTGCCTTATCGCAGCTGTATTCCCAAGTTCTAGAACAGTGTTTAGCACATAACAGGTGCTCAGTACATATTTGAAAGAATGAGTAAAGGAATGAACAGAAAGTGTTTGAATGGATGAGTGAATGAGGGAATGAACTGTGAGCATTGTGGCACCATTTAGCTAACGTGGGGACTACAGGAGGAAAGTGAGTGTAGCGGGAAAGATGAGTTTAATCTTGGATAAACTGGGTTGGAAGGGCCTTGGGACTTCCCACAGCAGATGTCCAGGAGGCTGGTTTCAATCCCTGGAAACTCACAAAGGAAGACTTGAAAAAGGAGAATTAGGACTTGGTCATGGCTTGAAGGCATCTGTGAGGCAGCCGTCAGACTGTAGCCTGGAGGCAGGCTCTTGGGTAGTTTTCTCAGAGTGGTTAGCCTCTCCCTACCTGTTCATCTCTGCACAGCAGGCAAGAAACATTAGAAAGAATGTTAGCTACTCCCTATAGTCCACTTAACAAATACTTTATAGCATCTTCTATTTTAAGACTGGGTGAGAAATTTTCTTGAGAGCCAGAGTATTGTTCCACTTGGGCCTCCTGGAGAAGTTGTTAATTATGTGTTTTTTACTTCATGACAGATCTTAACCAAAATAAATGTAGGGACAGAGTATCAAAAAATAAGACTAATCCTGATAAAATAAATTAGTGGAATGAATATACATTTTATAACTTTGAATCATCTAGTATATTCTTCCCCATATTTAAGATAATTTGGTATTTTCTATTTTTTTTTTTTTTAATCCTCAACCGAGGACATTTTTTTTTGCATTTTTTGTTCAGACAGAGCGGGGGGGGGGGGGGGGGGGAGGAGGAGAGAGAGAGAGAGAGAAACATCGATGTGAAGGGACACATTGGGTGGTTGCCACCCGCACGACCAACCAGGGCCGGGGACAAACTGCAACCGAGGTACGTGCCCTTAGCGGGAACCGAACCCGGGTCTCTCTGTACCGCAGGCCGGTGCTCTAACCGCTGAGCCAAACCGGCCAGGGCTAATTTGGTATTTTCTATCAAAGCACCTACACAGAGAAAATCATCATAGGAGGAAATACCTTTTACTTAAAATGTGTCACTTTTATTTATTGAGAATACTTTTTTCTTCCTTTTTAAAAGCGCATGTAACTTTCTAAAGCTGCTAATAGGGAGACCCGGTAGAATCTCCCAGAAGACTAGGGTTGTTTGTCTTGAATTATTTTTTTCCACTTTAGGATTTAAACCGGAAGAGAAGTGAATTGCTGGTGCCTGGATCACAGCTTGTTTTAGGTCCCCACGAATCCAAGATACCTCTCCTTTTGATCCAACAGCCAGGAAAAGTGACTGGTGATGACCGACGAGGCTGGGGAAGCGGCTGGGATGTGCTTCTCCCAAAGGGCTGGGGCATGGCTTTCTGGATTCCATTTGTAAGTTACGTTCTGATTCTGACTAAGAGCTGCAACGTTTAAAATACATTCCTAATAAATACCAAGTGCTGACAATGTTCCAGACCTGATGCACAGCTTTGAAATGGAGTTATTTTTCTGCCCTCTGAGCTACTGTCCTGATGCAAGAGACTTCATAACGTCCTTGGGGCCAGGGTTTATTAATAAGAATTGTGCTGACATACTGTGAATTTCTGAAGTTTTAAGAGTGGCCTGATTTTTAAATAGTAGTGGCAACAAAATGTTGATTTTTTTTTTTACTTGAAGAAATTTGTTAGTTTTAAAGCAGTTTTTCTAATTTTCTAATTTTTATAGATGAGTAGAATATATTTTTGTTGAAAGTGCTGGCCATATACTCCTATTTATTAACTAAACATTTTTTGTTTTTGGTACGTGCCCTTAGCGGGAATTGAACCTGGGACTCTCTTGTCCGCAGGCCGATGCTCCAACCCCTGAGCCAAACCGGCCAGGGCTATTAACTAAACATTTTTATTACAATCTAATATGTGGGTTTTTTTGGCGGGGGGGGGGGGGTTAGTTTAAATATTACTTTGAACTAGAGAGTATAAAAGACACACAAAAGCTGGTAGATCTATGCAGATAATTTGATTATGACTAGTGCAAGGGATATTCTGCTAATTATTTGGGAGTGGGAATATTTTTAAATAATTCTGATTTTTAAATTATGAAAGGTGTCGGGCATACAAAAAAGTATACATACTGAATAATAACTCTTGTGTTCCCTTCACCTGCCATCCAGCTTAAGAAATAAAACATCACAGATCCATTGGAAGCATTCTGTAGCCCTCTCCAGTTCCTTCTCCCTCCCTCCTCCTAAATCACTGTTCTGTTTTTGGTGTTTGTCACTACCATGCATGTTTTTATAGCTCTTTAAAGTATCCTAAAATAAAATGACATATTTGACGTTTTTAAACTTCATATACCTCACTGTATATATGCTTAGCAGCTTGCTGTATTGACTCAGCATTGAGATTTTTCTACATTGATTGATGAAGCTTTACTTACACTTTATATACCTCACTTTATATAAGGTTGATTTAATTTATTTTTTACTGTTGTATGGTAGGTAGTTCATTATAGGATTTCCTCACAATTTATCCATTCTTTTTTAAATATTATTGATTGATTTTAGACAGAGAGAAAGGGAGGGAGAGAGCGAGAAAGAGAGAGAGGGAAACATCAGTTTGCTGTTCCACCCATTTATGCATTCATTGGTTGATTTTTTTTTTTTTTTTTTATCCTCACCCGAGGACATTTTTCCATTTTTTGTACAGACAGAGTGGGAGGGAGAGAGAGGAAGAGAGAGAGAGAGAGAGAGAAACATCGATGTGAAAGGGACACATCGAGTGGCTGCCACCCGCACGACCAACCAGGGCCGGGGACAAACTGCAACCAAGGTACATGCCCTTAGCGGGAACCGAACCCGGGTCTCTCCGGACCGCAGGCGGGCGCTCTAACCGCTGAGCCAAACTGGCCAGGGCTCATTGGTTGATTTTTATATGTGTCCTGACCAGTGATTGAACCTACAACATTGGTGTAGGGATGATGATCTAACCAACTGAGCTACTTGGCCAGGGCTATCCATTCTTTTTCAATGGTCATTTAGGTTTTTTCCCCATTTACCCCATACAAACAATGAAGCAGTTTTCCTTTAATGTGGATATTGACAGGATCTCTTGGACATTCTTTCAGATCTATCGAGGTGCAAGAGTGGGAGGATTAAAAGAAGCTATAGTGCATTCTCAGTATAAAAGGTCACCTTACATCCCAGGTGATTTCCCAGACTGCTCTGCTGGGATTCTGTTTGCTGAAGAACAAGCCAGGAATCTTCTTGAGAAGTACAAAAGGTAAGAAATTGGCTTCTCTAGTTGATAATGTCTGAAGAGGAAGAGGAGCGCTTACTCACATTGGCCAATAATGTTTGGATTGGCTTCGGTGACTCTTACTCTATAATGTGGAGTTTTCACAGACCTTTCCTTAAGTTCAGCATTACTGAGACATAATTAAGTCAGGAGGTTGTCTTATGTCTGGTGTTTATAGGCTCATCCAGGTTACAAACCCTTCCCTTGGTCATTTGCTTACATTGATAATGGTGTACACCATTTTAGGTGCTTTTAGGTGCTTATTAGTAGATTTCCACTCTCAACCCTGCCCCCTCAAAATGGAAATTGAGTTTTTTATAACTGATTATAGAGATAATACATATGACATTTATTTTTTTATTAATTAATGTTTGTTACAGATGTTTCTCCTTTTTTCCCTACTGATTCCCCCCTTCCTCTCCCTTCCTGACCTGTCCCCAGCTTTGTTGTCCATGTCCATTGTTCATGCACACATGCATATAAGTTCTGTGGTTTATCTCTCCCCCACCATCCCCTCTTCTGGGGATTGTCAGTCTGTACCCCACTTCCACATCTCTGGGACTACCCCATTCCTCAGACTGTTATGTTCATTATGTTCTACAAATAAGTGAGATCATATGATACTTGTCTTTCTCTGTTTGGCTTGTTTCACATAGAATGATACTTTCCAGATCCCTCCATGTAGTCTCAAAGGATAAGAGATCTTTCTTTCTTATAGCTGCGTAGTACTCCATTGTGTATATGTACCACTGCTTTTTTATCCATTCATCTACTGATGGACACTTGGGCTGTTTCCAGATCTTAGCTATTGTAAATAGTGCTGCTATGAACATGGGGGTACATATATTCTTTCTGATTGGTGTTTCAGGCTTCTTAAGGTATATTCCTAGAAGTGGGATCACTGGGTCAAATGGCAGTTCAATTTTTAATTTTTTGAGGTAACACCGTATTATTTTTCATAGTGGCTGCACCAGTCTGCATTTCCACCAGCAGTGTACTAGAGTCCCCTTTTCTCCACACCCTCGCCAACACTTGTTGTTTGATGATTTGTTGATGGCAGCCATTCTGACAGGTGTGAGGTGATACCTCATTGTTGTTTTAATTTGCATCTCTCTGATGATTAGTGATGTTGAGCATTTCTTAATATGTCTCTTAGCCATTTGTATGTCCTGTTTGGAGAGGTGTCTATTCAGCTCCTCTGCCCATTTTTTAATTGGGTTCTTTGTCTTCCTTTTGTGGAGTTGTATGGGCACTCTATATATATTGGAAATTAACCCCTTATCTGATATATCATTGGCAATGATGTTCTCCCATACAGTGGGTTGCCTTTCCATTTTGATGATTGTATCTTTCGCGGTGCAGAAACTTTTGAGTTTGATGTAGTCCCATGTGTTCATTTTCTCCTTTGTTTCTGTTGCCTTAGGTGATGTATCAGTGAAAATTTTTCTGCGTATGATGTCTGAAATTTTGTTGCCTACAGTTTCTTCTAGGATTTTTATGGATTTTTGAGTCACATTTAAGTCTTTCATCCATTTTGAGTTTATTCTTGTGTAGGGTGTAAGTTGATGGTCTAGTTTCATTTTTCTGCATGTAGCTGTCCAATTTTCCCAACACCATTTATTAAAGAGGCTGTCCTTACTCCACTGTATGCTCTTGTCCCCTTTGTCAAATATTAATTGAGCATATTGACTTGGGTCCATTTCTGGGTTCTCTGTTCTGTTCCACTGGTCTATATATATGACATATTAATGAAACTATGAAAACATAAAATACTTTATATTTTAAATTATATTTTATTTTTAAAAAATTCTCACCTGAGGACATTTTCTCATTTATCTTCAGATAGAGTGGGAGGGAGGGGGAGAGAGAGAAGGAAACATGGACACGAGAGAGACACATCCATTGGTTGCCTCCTGCATGACCCGACCAGGGTTGGGGACTGAACCACAACTGAGGTACATGCCTTTGACCGGAATCAAGCCTGCGAGTCTTTGGTCCATGGGCAGATGCTCTAACCGTTGAGTCAAACTGGCCAGGGCCATAAAATACTTTATAAACTGGTACATTTCTTTTTTTCTTTTTAATTAATTAATTTTTGTTACAGATGTTTCTTCTTTTTCCCCCAGACACCCTCCTCCCTATCCTGTGCATACCCCCCCCCCCACAAGCATTGTTGCCTATGTCCATTGGTTACGCATACATGCATATAAGTTCTCTGGTTTATCTCATCCCTCCTCTCTGCCCCCCTTCTCTGAAGTTTGGTGTATTTCTTTCATTCAGAGAGATAAGCACTGTCTTGACATTTTAGGATCTGTCCATCTAGACATTTTTTTCTTTTCTTTTGTGATTAGGGGGAGTGAACAATGAGGGACTTTTTTTCCTTTATACTGTGAAGTCCATGCTAACATCAGGAACCTGTATTTCCAATCACCTGTCGGCTCTCGGAAGCACAGAAACTCACTTGCTTGTTGTGGCATCTGTGATATCTAGCTAGTGCCTGGTGCACAGTGGGCTAATTGAATGTTGTAGTTTCTTTCTTTTTTTTTTTAATCCTCATCTGAGGACTTTTTTCCATTTTTTGTTCAGATAGGGTGGGAGGGAGAGAGAGGAAGAGAGAGAGAGAAACATTGACGTGAAAGGGACACATCGAGTGGCTGCCACCCGCACGACCAACCAGGGCCGGGGACAAACTGCAACCGAATTACGCGCCCTTAGCAGGAACTGAATCTGGATCTTTCCAGACCGTAGGCCGACACTCTAACCACTGAGCAAACTGGCCAGGGCAAATGTTGTAGTTTCTTGATTGTGAGTGCCACAATTGTGCTTTCCTGTTCATTGCTGCACCCACAGAGACAGGCAGTACCTGGCTTTCAAACGGCTTGACTGATGGACGGATGGATGGATGGATGGATGGATGGATGGATGGATGGATGAGTGAGTGAGTGAATTAACAGGGTACATTGCTGGATTGCTAGCTCATGAGTTCTGAGGGCAGCGATCATGCATTATTTGTCCTTGTGGGCCTTATAATATGTAGCTGAGGGTCTTCTATGTGTTTGTTAAGTAATAATTGACAATAATACATACTTATTTCTTACTCTTTAGATTCTTATGCATGCAACTTTTTCATAAATACAATTAAAAAATATTACATATACTATTTTAAAACCTGCTTTTTTCATTTAATGTTATATAATAGATAGTTTTCTCATATCAATAAGGGCCAGACGCTAAATATTTTTGGCTTTGTGGGTCCTTTGGTTTCCATGGCAACTGCTCAGCTCTGCCATTGTGGTGCAAAAGCAGCCACAGGAGATACATAAATGAATGAGCACGGCTTTGTTCCAGTCTCACTTTATGGACCCTCAGATTTGAATTTTATATCATTTTCATGTGCCATAAAGTATTATTCTTTTGTTTGTTTCCAACCATTTAAAAATGTAAAAACCATCCTCAGCTCATGGGTCATAAAAAGTAGACCGTGGGCCAGGTTTAGCCTGTGAGTCATAGTTGGCCATCTCTTGCTCGAAATATAACTGAATGGCTGCTCAGGACTCCAGTATGGATATACTATAATTTATCAGTGGCTCTTTAGGTAATTTCTGATTGTTTGCTTTGTGCTTCTGTGAACAGCCATCCATATGCATCTTTACATGTTTGTCTGATTTAGTCATTCATTTAGCACATGTCTATTTGGAGCCTATTATGTGTCAGACACCTTTCTAAGCACTGGGGCTATAGCAGTAGAAGGCAGGCTATGTCTGTGCCTGCCCTCGTTGAGCTTTTATATGCGCACACACACACACACACACACACACACACACACACACACATTTTATTTTAATCCTCACCTGAAGATATTTTTTCATTGATTTTTATATAGGGTGGAAAGGAGGTGGAGAGAGAAAGAGAAACATCAATGTAAGAGAGACACATCGATTGGTTGCCTCCTGTACAACCCTGACCGGGGACAGGAATTATACCTGCAACCATTTGGTGTGTGGGCTGATGCTCTAACCATTGAGCAACACTGGCCAGGGCATGAGATGTCATTTTTTATGGCCGAGTAATATTCCATTGTATGTACCATATCTTCTTTAGTCATTCATCTATTGGTGGACACTTAGGTTGTTTTCATATCTTGGCTGTTGTAAATAATGCCAGTGAACATAGGGGTGCATATATCTTTTTGAATTAGTGTTTTTGTTTTTTTAAAATAGATCCAGAATTGGAATTATTGGGTCCCCTGGTACTTCTATTTTTAATTTTTTTTTTTATCCTCACCTGAGGACATTTCTCCATTTTCTGTTCAGGTAGAGTGGGAGGGAGAGAGAGAGGAACAGAGAGAGAGAGAGAAACATCGACGCCAAAGGGACACATCGAGTGGCTGCCACCCACACGACCAACCAGGGCCGGGGACAAACTGCAACCGAGGCACGCGCCCCTAGCGGGAACCGAACCCGGGTCTCTTGGGACCACAGGCTGATGCTCTAACCGCTGAGCCAAACTGGCTGGGGCTATTTTTAATTTTTTGAGGAACCGCCATACTGTTTGCCACAGTGGCTGCACCAATTTGTAATCCCACCACTAGTGCACAAGGGTTCCCTCTTCTCCACATCCTTGTCAACATGTTATTTGTTGTCTTTTTGATGATAGCCATTCTGACAGGTGTAAGGTGGTATCTCATTGTGGTTTAGATTTGCATTTTCTGATGATTAGTTATGTGGAGCATCTTTTCATGTGTCTGTTGGCCATCTGTGTGTCCTCTTTGGAGAAATGTTTGTTCAGGTTTCTGCCTCCCCCTTTTTTTAATCCTCTCCCAATAATATTTTTCTATTTATCTCAGTTAGAGTGGGAGGGGGAGGGAGAGAGGGAGGGAGGGAGGGAGAGAGAGAGAGAGAGAGAGAGAGAGAGAGAGAGAGAGAGAGAGAGAAGCATCGATGTGAGAAAGACACATTGATTGGTTGCCTCCCGCATGACTCTGATCAGGGCCGGGGACAAACCGCAACCAAGGTACATGCCCTTGACTGGAATCGAACCCGTGGCTCTTTGGTTGGGCTTACGCTCTAACCACTGAGCCAAATTGGCCAGGGCGAATCTGCCCACTTTTAAAATTTTTTGTCTTTATTGATTTTAGAGAGAGAGGAAGGGAGAGGGAAATAGAGATAGAAACAGCGATAAGAGAGAACATTGATTAGCCACCTCCTGCATGCCCCCCACTGGGGATTAGGCCCACAACCTGGCATATGCCCTGACTGGGAATTGAACCAGCGACCTTTTGGTGCATGGATCCACGCTCAACCACGGAGACACACCAGTCGGGCCCATTTTTTTTATATCCTCACCCGAGGACGTTTTTCCATTTTTTGTTCAGATAGAGTGGGAGGGAGAGAGAGGAAGAGAGAGAGAGAGAGAGAAACATCTACATGAAAGGGACACATCGAGTGGTTGCCACCCGCACCACCAACCAGGGCTGGGGACAAACTACAACCGAGGTACGCACCCTTAGCAGGAACTGAACCCGGGTGTCTCTGGACCGCAGGCCTACGCTCTAACCGCTGAGCCAAACTGGCCAGGGCTGGGCCCATTTTTTAATTGTAGTGTTTGTTTTATTGATGTTGAGTTGTATGAGTTCTTTATAAATTTTTGGGTATTAACCTCTTATTGAATATGTTATTTGTACTTCTGTCATTCAAGAGTTGCCTTTGCATTTTGTTGATGATTTAGATAAAAAAAAGATGCAGCCCTGGCTGGTTTGGCTCAGAGGTTAGAGCGTCGGCCTGTAGTCCAGAGAAACCTGGGTTCGGTTCCCGCTAGGGGCACGTACCTCGGTTGCGGTTTGTCCCCAGCCCTGGTTGGTCGTGCGGGTGGCAACCACTCGATGTGTCCCTTTCACGTCCATGTTTTTCTCTCTCTCTCTCCCTCCCCACTCTATCTGAACAAAAAATGGAAAAATGTCCTCGGGTGAGGATAAAAAAAAAAAAGATGCACATGTTAAGGATTTGATATTCTGTTGACAGATTGCTGTTTGTCCTAATTTAGGATTTTACCTGTAGTTCTGAGGGGGCCTCTTTTTCCTCACTCTCGCTAACATAGGCTATTATCTGTCTTAATATTAACAAAACTAGTAGGTGAAAAAATGACAACTTATTGTAGTAATTTTTGTTTGTTTGCTTACTAGTGAAGTTGGGTATTTTTAAGTGTGTTAAAGGTCTCTGGATGAGACAAGCACCCTTGGAATGTTTTTCACCAGTTTCTTGGGGTGTGGGAGAACATCTGGGGTTCTGGGCATGCCACAGAGTGAGAACTAAATGGGGGAAAGAATGTCGGCCTGTCCCAGGGGACACCTTCAGTCTGAGGACGCAGTCTGGGACTCCCTGAAAGTCCTCCAGCCCACAGTGGCCAGCAGCCAGGCCGCGTCCTCCCTCTTAGGGTCAGTAAGTACCAGAGCAGACCCTGGTTCTCCGCAGCTTGGGGCACTTCTCAGAGGTTCTCCCTCATGCAGACATTGCTGGAAAGGTCAGTTGGTGTCACCCCTGTGGAGGACAGTCTGGAAATATTTGTCAAAATTGCACATGCTAATAATAAATACTCTGCCTCAGCACCTCCACGCCCGGGAATTGACCCTCTGTGTCCACGTGCACTTGGGCAGCATGTTCAGGGTCACTCATTGTAGCCCTGCTTGTGGAAGCAAAAGCCTGACAATAAGCAAACAGCCCCACAATAGAGGACTCACAAAACGGGATCTCTTGATGTACTGATACAAATGATCTCTAAGTTATTTTGTTAAGTGAAAAAAGGAAAGTTGGGTGAAAAGGACTGTGTCTGGTGTGCCACCATTGTCTAAAAATGGGTAAAAAAAGATGAAAGAAATAGGTACATATCTGCTTCTGTGTACATGAAATATCTCTGGAAGGCTCTATGAGGAACTGATAATGGTACTTGCTGTCTCTGTGGAGGGCAGCTGGGTCACTAGAGGTCAAGAGTGAGAGAAAAACTTCATCACACCTCTTGTCGCCTTTGAACTGAGAACCCTGTGAATGTGTGTGGACATCACCGCACAACTCCAGGGACGCCACTTCCTTGCAGTCTTTGGGAATGGCACTCCCTGGAGTTGTGCAGTAGCCACATGAGGCTACTTTGTGGATGCATCGTTAAAATAAAAACTGAAAGAAACAGAAAAGCTTGGCCTGTAGAGTTGGTTATTCTTCTTTATTATATTTCTTAGGAATCTTCTTTGGTATGTTTATTTTCTTAAATAGAGATACAGCACAATGACCATAACTATTTTAGTTGCCTCATCCTAAATTATTCAAAATTGGCTCTCCTCTTTGGTTTTCACTAGATGCCCTCCTGCAAAACGGCCCAACTATGTTAAGCTGGGCACTCTGGCACCTTTCTGCTATCCCTGGGAGCAGTTAACGCGAGACTGGGAATCAAGAGTCCAGGCCCAAGAGGAATCGTCTGCAGCGCCCTCTCGGAGTGGTGGGGAGAATGACTTGAGAGGAGACTGGGTGCCTTGTGCTCCCACGCCTGAAAAAACCCGTCAGGTGTCCGATGAGGTGGACTCATCCCTACACGACTCCCATGAGCCCGAGGGAGTGATGGACACAGAGGGCCTGGCCCAGGCGGGGACTGAGTGGGGATCGGGCCAGGATGCCACTGGCAGTCTCCTCTGCGTTCTTAGGTAAGTGCACTCGACTTCTGGATACATTTTGGATGGTCTCTCTTAATACTGACCAGACTGCACGTTATTGTTCCTTGAGGCAAAGCCCAAGTGAATTTTTGGACTTTCATAGAGAGAGCCCATGGAAACAGCTAAAGCATATCTGATTTGGGGATGATACTACCTGATGAAATGATTTGAAATACTGTCATCCAGAGGCCTAAACCAAGACAGTTTTTCAAATGACCTATTTCCTTGAGTCTGCTCACAAAGCAGCACCTTTATGAGTGTATCTCAGGTAATGAAGAACACCTGCAAACTCTAGCGAGCACTCTTTGCTTTAAATCACTGAGTCAGATGTTTTTCTCCTTCCTTTTGAATGATCTGAATTTGTGGCCAATCAGGTGCCGATTCATTGTGCTGTCGTATCATAGAGGCTGCCATATAAAATGTGTCTGCTCAGTACTGCTGCAGGCCATTCGCGTCTGCTTCTCAGTTACCCTTTGTTCTGTGCTCTGGTTTTTCTTATTTATTTATCTTGTGCTCTGATTTTTTATAAAGTGCTCACCCCTCTTGCCTTATACTTATTTTTTTTCATGTAACTCCCTTAGTTTCTTTTTTAATGAACATATCAGCTCCTCTTTAATCCCTTCACTGTGAGCACAGCCTTAGATGCCATTCCACTGTCTTATTTTTCTTTGCCTTCAACTTTTTAAACCTTTAGTCTTTCTGCCTCAGAATAGTGGACACATAAAAAGTAAAATATAACTACAGCCCTGGCCGGTTTGGCTCAGCGGTTAGAGCGTCGGCCTGCAGTCCAGAGAGACCTGGGTTCGGTACCCGCTAAGGGCATGTACCTCGGTTGCAGTTTGTCCCCGGCCCTGGTTGGTCGTGCGGGTGGCAGCCACTCGATGTGTCCCTTTCACATCGATGTTTCTCTTTCCCTCTCTCTCCCTCCTACTCTATCTGAACAAAAAATGGAAAAAATGCCCTCGGGTGAGGATAAAAAAAAAAGTAAAATATAATTACAAAAATGCATTGTTCATTTTTAATTTTTTTAAAAATTGGAATTTTGATCCTTTCCCACACAGAGTATAAAAAATTACACGAACTATAGTAATGTCTGATCTTCTAATTGCATATTTTCTCCCTGAACAAAATATCCTCAAACATGTAGGAGGAGACCATCACTGAAGCAGCTGTCAGCCTGGTGTGGGCCCGGACCTGGGGACAGTTGGGCAGCCCGGCGAACTTCCAGCAGGGGGCAGCAAGAGCTAACTCCAGAGGCCTGCCTGTCCATCTTGGCCCGCTTCCCCAGGGCCCTGGTGTGGGTCAGCCTGTCCCTGCTCAGGAAGGGCAGCCCTGAGCCACACACTATGATCTGTGTCCCAGCCAAGGAGGACCTCCTGCAGCTCAGTCAAGACCCGCTCTACTGCGGGCCGCAGGAATCCAAGCACAGTGACCCATTCAAGAGCAAGATCCGGAAACAGAAAGAGAAGAAGAAAATAGAGAAGAGGCAGAGCCGCGGGTGTGCTGCGTCTGAGAGCCTGACAGCGAGGGGCCCCACTGCAGGGCATCCAGCTCCGACCCAGGGCCTGTGGCCAGGCCCACTTCCCGATGTGACTTCTCACTGCTCCAGAGTGCTCCTGGGCTTTGTCACACAGGGCGACTTCTCCATGGCTGTGGGCTGTGGAGAAGCCCTGGGCTTTGTTAGTTTGACAGGCTTGCTGGATATGCTGTCCTCCCAGCCAGCAGCGGAGAGGGGCCTGGTGTTACTGAGGCCTCCAGCCTCTCTGCAGTATCGCTTTGCCAGGATGGCCATTGAGGTGTGAATGCTGGTCTGCGTCCTTGCTGGGGACAGATGGTAACTGTTTGCCATCTTCTGTTCTGAAATATCGTGAAATTCCTTGGAAACAAGAATAATAATAAAAAAAGACGTATTATGCAAATGGATGAAATGTTTACATCATTCCAATAATATCATTCATTTCCATGTTTCTTTCTCCTTGCTGTAATACTGTGAAATTATTTGGCATATATAGCCCAAAGCTTTTCTGTTACGATTTCTAGGTCTGTGTCATTCTTGCTGGAAACAAGTAGAAGCTTTGTTTTCTTGTCCCCTTTCTTATTAGAAACAAAGGGCTGTCAGGTCTGTGTAAAAACCTTGTAGTCCAGTGATAAGCAATGATGGTTTAATGATTTGATTGTTACAGAAGAGGCAAAGACTATAAACATTGGCCTTTGTACCTGAAATGTGGGCCCCCCCACCTGGCCATGTTCAGTTCTGTGCTGTAATCAGCATGCCCGACACTTGACGCCATAAAGGAGGAAGTCACGGGAAATTTATTGCTGCCCCTTTGCAGGCGGGTCGGCCTGTGGTGAGTGTTAGGGTGAAATTACAATGGGGTCTCTGATTTTATCGCCCCTGTCCTCTGTTGTTGACCAACACACGATCCTCGGAGTTACTTAAATATTTCTGGGCTTTTTGTTTCTGCAAAGAATTTTTCAAAGCCATAGAGGAGCATTTCAAAAACATGTTTTGTGAAATGTGTCCCTCCCCCACCCCCCCGCAATGAAGAGAGATTCCAAGGACAGAGTGGAAACTCTGGGTTAAAGGACTTCTAGAACCTTCATGTGTACATTGTGAATCTCCAGGAAGCAGGTAGTGGTCTATGGTGTTTTCTAAATCTTTTTTGCAAGGAGCGCTGTGTAGGACCTGTGTTCTCAGGGGTGTACTTTGGGAAATGTAGCCGTACTGTGCGATACTTACTCCGCAAGGTGATGGTGACAATGACGAGCTGCTTTTCAACATCCGTGCAGTCACATTGTCCATCTGACATCTTGAGCAGAGCGTAAAAGAGGCCTCGTCCTGTCCCATAGGAAGAGTGGGGTCATCACTGCTTCTTTTCACTTGCAGAGAAACTAGGTGCTCATAAACGTTAAGTCACCGTGTATGTCTCACCCATCCCCGCAGTCCCTTATTTTCCTGCCGTAAATTCCTAGCAGAGCTTGAGTGGGATTTTTTTTATAATTTAAATTGTACAGTTAGGCATTATTTCCTGTAAATGCACTGGGTTTTTGCAGTTGCATCTGTCAGTAAATACCTTTAGGAGTGATGAGTTGGGGAGAGATACAGAAGTGTTACAGCAGCTGATGAAGTGTCTGGTGTTTCCCTCTCCCCAGACCTCTAGGTGTATTTGTGTCCAACCCAAAGGAGACTGAAAACAACAACAACAGTATAACTCAGTGGTGTCTGTGAACAATAAATAAGAATGTCACCTGACGCTCTTTCGTGGATATTTATTGCAGCGTCCCTCGTTTGTTTTCTAGGCTCCAGGCCACTTCATCTGTGCCTAGCTCCCTTGATGACAGGAGTCTGAGTGTGCTGTGCGTCACTGGGGCCTGCTGCCCGTGCTCGTCACAGGGACAGGCCGTGCTTTGCTTTGCGGTGGTAGGTCAGACTGTGCTGAAACATAGACTAGCATTTCCCAAAACATATTCCTGGAAGAACGTGTTTCACAGCTAAATAAATGTGGGGGGATGCCGTATGCCGCATCCTTCCATCGCCGATGCAGCGGCTGTTAGTCTGCTCGAGGCTCTGCATTTCCTGCGGGAGGGAGATGTCCTTCCCAGGCACCCTTCCCACTTGCCCGCTCGCGCGCTCTTTTTCCTTTTTTCTGCCTAGCTGTTGTCTAGAGAACGCTAGTTTCATGGAATATACTGGACGTGTTTAGTTTGATCCTACTAGATGCCTGCTGAGCTACCAAATAAGTACAGCATGGCCCCTGCCCTCTTGTCGAGGGGCAGGGCTTGCAAAGTTCATAAAGTCAGGGAGTGTCCAAAAAAGCAGACTTGTGATCTGAACACCCAGAGACCAGCTCCACCCCTGAGTTGTGTGTGAAACAGAATTTATTCTTTCGGTGTGGTTACACTCTGGTTTGTTTTACATTATATAAGTCATATTTTTATGTTAATAACCTATATTCATCATAGACAAATTAGAAAATGCAGATAAGCAACAGTAACAAATCACCTGGATTTTCACCTCCCCTCCCCGGGGGTAACCACTGTACCTTTCCGGTACACATCCTTCTAGGCTTTGAGATGTGTGTTGTTGTTTCCTTTTAAGGAAAACAGCATCAGTAACTGCTTATATAAAAACGTCTGTGGGCCCTGGCCGGTTTGGCTCAGCGGTTAGAGCATCGGCCTGCGGTCCGGAGAGACCCGGGTTCGGTTCCCGCTAAGGGCATGTACCTCGGTTGCAGTTTGTCCCCGGCCCTGGTTGGTTGTGCGGGTGGCGACCGCTCGATGTGTCCCTTTCACATCAATGTTTCTCTCTCTCTCTGTTCCTCTCTCTCCCTCCCACTCTATCTGAACAAAGAATGGAAAAATGTCCTCGGGTGAGGATGATTAAAAAAAACAAAAACAAAAAACGTCTGTGGAACACACGTGCAGCCCAAGTGCAGGTCGCCAGTTCCTCATGGAGCTTGACTAGTGGGAAGCCTCACGCTCATGCTGCTTTTCATGGAAGTGGGAGGTTCGCAGGCGCATCTAGTCCTGCATGTGGCATTGCCCGTCTCGTCTGCTGCACATGCAGGGTGGCTTCTTTCTTCCCAGCCGGTGGGACAGGAAGGGGCAGCTGAGGCTGCATGGACTCCATACAGCCTTACCGGATGTCCTTGTGGCCTGAGGCCTGGGGAGCACAGACGCCAGGTCCAGGACTGTGCTGCCTAGCAGATGACAGAAGGTAACAGACCAGCAGCTGCGGGTGACGGAGCAGCAGTGCCGTCACCCAGCACACCGAGGACCACAGGTACAGTCTTTCCCTTGACGACGGCTTTCGTTCCTGGCTGCACATGAGAATCCCCTGATAGCCCAGACGTCCCCCCAGTCCCAGGCTGGGCCCAAGCATCAGTGTTAGAAGCTCCCAGGCCGTTCTGATGCGTGACCGGGGCAGGGGACTGTGGCTTTAAGAGGCCTGGCTCTTTGGACCCCCTGCACTTTGGGAAAGTGAATGAGTAACAAGGCCAGGGGAAGCTGTTAACTCTTCCGCTGTTAGCAGGCGAGGCTCACAGGGTCTGTTGTGAAGCAGCCAGGTGGGGCTTCACGAGAGCATGGTGGCGAGCACCTCCACCTGGGAAGAGCCTGGTCTTGAACACGCTCATTACTTGTTAACCCTGATTACTGGGGAGTGGGAAATGAGGTTTTCTCTGTTTTCCCTGGGGGAGCATCCTGCCAGACCAGATCAGCTGTTGTGAACCCTGGCTGCACGTTGGGGTCACCCGGGAGCTTTCCCAGCCCTGGAGCCCAGTTCCGCCTCCGGGGATGCTGACTCCGCTGGCCAGGCACGTGGCCGGGACATTGGGGTTCTTGCGAGCTCCAGGTGACTTTCAGCCCAAGTTGCGAACCACTGTTCTAGACATTTAATATGAGATTCCAGTGTTCATGAGCCAAGGACACAGAAACTTACGTCATGGGGAGCCGTGCAGGGCGGGAGCAGGTGTGGGCTGTCTTGAGTGGGGTACGTAGCTGTCACTGATGGATGCCCCTGGATAGGGTCCTGCTGGATCTGAGCAGCTATGTTCACCTAATGGCATTTCCCTTCTCTGGCTTTCTAAAAGTTAAAATTTAACCAGGGGCTGTTCCGGGAGCACCCACCCTAACCGTCCATGTGCTTTCACTAAAGAAATGTGTGCGAAGTGGAACCCTGCCATCTCATCACACCCCTCGGCCCCACTCCCTGCTGTGAGCGTGCTGGTCTCTCAGGTCCTTGCAGACAGAGTCCAGCTCTCGGTGCCCACGGGGCTTGAGCTGAGCCTGCCTTCATGGGATGTCCTCCCTGTGCTCCCTACACTCCTGCTCACCTGTCCCCTCTCATCCCGTCCTTCCGAGCTTAACTTTGTTTCCCAGAGAGGCCTCCTCCTCCAACATTATTTTCTATCACAAGGGGTTTATTTTCTGATGACATCGCAATATATACTCATTACGTTGTTGTGTACTTGTTTATTGTCCATTAGGCTGTGAGCCTCCTGAAGGGGAGACTGTGTCTTACTGGGTCACTGTTGTTCCTCAGAGTCTAGCACAGGGCCTAACCCACAACTTGTGTTTAATATATCTCTGTTGATGTAGTAATCAAATTGGTTGCTGTTTGTATTAAACTCTGTTACAGCAGAGTTTAACAACTGTTTCAGCACAGGCATCTGTTGTAATGCACAAGTTAGCCACTAGGTGGTACCAAGACCTCATGAGAAAACAGCGTGCTCTGGAAAAACATCAGAACTAAAAGACAATTCAGTCGCGTATGTTGTTGGAATGGGGGAGTTTATGAGGTTACAGATCAATTAATATTCGCTCTTTTGAGGCAGACCCATCCTACCAAAATCCTAGTTTTAAAAGGCTCTGATTTTTAAAGAGGACACTAGAGAAGAAACAACTTTTAAAGCTCCTATCTAATGAGTCCCATCCACATCATCCCCGATAAGTTTGCTTACCCATCATGAGCTGAATGCCTCCAATGACAGGGAACTCATTACTTCACCCAGTTGCCATTTGCCCCTTGGCAGCACACTGTTGGGTGAATTGCCTCCAGCCCCACCTTACTTACGTATGTCAGCAAACAGTGAGAAGCAGCCTTTTAGTTTTAGAAAGTCAGTTATTAGCTTTTTGTTTTTCCTCTTCTCCAGGCTAAACAAGCCTCATTTCGTTAGCTTTCCTTCTCTTGTTTCCAACATCTCACAGAGGGTCTTAAGTTATTTTTTGGACAAGACATAATTTGTTCTCAGAACAACCCTGCACAGCTGTGGGAGCCTTGGCCGGGGCTGCTGACAGGGAG